TAAGGCTTGGGCAATCCTCCTCCCTTTGAGCTAGCTTTTGGGGTGTGAGTTAGGCCTAAGACCTAATTTAACATGGTTAGTAATCCTGAAAGGTATAGACGGCTTGTTGGAAAGTTGAATTATCTCACAGTGACTAGACCTGACATCTCTTTTCCTGTGAGTGTTGTAAGTCAGTTTATGACTTCCCCTTGTGATAGTCATTGGGAAGCAGTTGTTCGTATTCTGCGATATATAAAGTCAGCTCCCGGTAAAGGACTACTCTTTGAGGATCAAGGCCATGAGCATATCATTGGATATACAGACGCTGATTGGGCAGGATCACCCTCTGACAGACGTTCGACATCCGGATATTGTGTTTTAGTAGGAGGTAATTTGGTGTCGTGGAAGAGTAAGAAACAGAATGTGGTTGCTCGATCTAGTGCAGAATCAGAATATCGAGCAATGGCGACAGCAACTTGTGAGCTAGTTTGGATCAAACAGTTGCTGGGAGAACTAAAATTTGGCAAAATTGATCAGATGGAACTTGTGTGTGATAATCAAGCGGCTCTTCATATCGCATCAAATCCAGTGTTTCATGAAAGGACTAAGCACATTGAGATTGACTGTCACTTTGTCAGAGAAAAGATACTCTCGGGAGATATTGTTACAAAATTTGTGAAGTCAAATGATCAGCTTGCAGATATCTTCACCAAGTCCCTCACATGTCCTCGTATTAATTACATCTGTAACAAGCTAGGTACATATGATTTGTATGCACCAGCTTGAGGGGGAGTGTTAGAATAGAAATAAGTATTTCCTACTTAGAATAGGAATATGAATAGGAATAGGAATAGGAATAAGAATAGGAATCCTAGTTGGAAAAGGATTCCAATGTAGTGTCTATAAATAGGGTCTCAATGTAACTATTTAGAAATACAATTCAATAATATTCTTTTCCTATATTTCTCACAGATATAAAGGAAAGTGTGTCATAAAAATTATGACAAGAGTATTACTTATGTGGAATTTTATCTAGAATTATTTTTGTTTTTGCAGCCAATCAAACAACCCCTTTGTAAATATCAAGCTGGAAGGAAATTTGATCTAGATAATGGTACATCGTCTAAAGATTAAAAAAAAAAAAGACATGTAGCATCTTAACTTTATCACTTTGTACAACCAATTCCAAGACACTAAAAGAATGAAGTATTTGAACATTTCTTCAATACTTCATACCATCCTCTATTAGCAGGTCAATTGAACTTAGAAGCAACAACCAAAACTTCAGTTGATTTTCTCTTTTTTTCCTACAAGGTATGGCAGGCCCATGGGAGAAAGGGGGGAGAGACAATTTTTTGATAAATAAATATAAATATTATATTTATAAATATATATATATGAGACAAGTATGATGCCAATACAGTTACTAAACTTGTGGTTAAAAATATCAGAGTTATTCTGGTTTATTTTCAATTAACATAGACACCATTATCACCCCTACATCATTGATGCTTATCATAATTAATCTTGGACTAAACCTATATATAAGTTTTTTTTCTCCCATTGCGCCTTTTTTCATTAAAACTCACGCTTAATTTGCAGATGTGGCTTAAATCCCCAACGGATCTTAGAGTTTGTTTGTGCTTTGCTTTTAATAACATTGTCTCTTACCACTAGACCAAAGCTCTGAGCTTGCCAATGGACCACTACCATACCATTCTTGCATGAATTGAAGCGCACCTATCTTACCCACTAAACTAGCTAAAAGCTATCACTTCAGGTAGAGGGTTGCACAAATTGCCTACTTTAATGTCATCTTTGCCTTTAAATACTATCATTCATGTATTGCTAATACACTTCCAACTCTATATTTTATCCCACATAATGTAACATGTGTTCAGATATAACTAGTTCAGGCATTAGATACACTGAGTTTAATACAACCAACAAAATATTGCATTAGCTATATGAAGTTTAATACCGTCAAACAAACACTACATTCGTTATTCTAGAATAACCAAATAATGAATTACTTATGCGGAATATTATCTAGAATTATTTTTGTTTTTGTGGCCAATTAAACAATCCCTTTGTAAATACAAGTTGGAAGGAAATTTGATCTCAGTAATGGTACATTATCTAAAGATAATAAAAAGACATCTAGCATCTCAATTTAATCACTTTGTACGACTAATTCCAAGACACTAAAAGAATGAAGTACTTGAACCTTTCTTCACTACTTCATACCATCCTCTATTAGCCAGGTTAATTGAACTTAGAAGAAATGACCAAAAATTCAGTGGATTTTTCTCTTTTTCCCCTGAGGTAGGTGGTATGCCCCATGGGGGAAAGGGGGAAGAGGCACTTTTCAGATATATATACTAGACAAGTATGATGTCCATACAATTACTAAATTTGTGGTTGATAATATCAGAGTTACTCTTGTTTATTTCCAATCAACCTAGACATCAATATCACCCCCAAAATTTGAGGTTCTCAAGCTTTAAGAACAAAATGGGAACTGTTAAAGACTATCAATGATTACCTCAATTAAACAGATTATATGTATTTTGAATTTTGATGATAAGAATATTCGTTCAATGACAGGAAAATGTTAACTGAGGTTGCAAGCTAATTGTGTTATTATCAATTATTCAAGGAACTCAGACAAACATTTGGCAATAACCTGTCATCAAAAAACACAATGACCTACGCTAGGTAGAAAAACTCTTAAAAGTTTAACTTCAGTAGCACCTAAAAACTTGACTGAGAAATCATCATGCACTCACACAACAGTTCCACGCTACAAATATACCAAATAAAAAAATTACAATAAAGAAGTACCTCCCCCGATTTTCTTTCTATACAACAAAAGGAGGAAATTGACTCCAACTAGCTGGTAAGGTTTTAGTATTGGCTTAAAATCCGAATCTTCTTCTCCACATGCCAGGTCTATATCATCCTTGAAAGAAAAAGGTTTCAATGAGAGACAAAAATACAGCATTTTACAATAGTTAAACGCAAAACTAGAAGTGTTATGCACTAGTTCAAATATCATACCTGAGTGACAATTCTTAGTGACGAAGCCTCCTCCACTTCAACAAAGGAATCACATTTTGCAGCTGCAGTACCAAAAAGCTCTCTCTTAAGCTCCATAGATATTTTCCCACACTTTTGCAATGCCTTTCCTACAACATCCTCCTCCTTTTCACTCTCCTGGTTGTCGGAAAGCTCAAACTCCTCCTCCTCCTCCTCTTCATTTGAGTTAAATCCTTCCTCTTCATCATCCACCACAAATCTTCGGCGGGCACGGCAGTTGGTCTGGTTGATAGTGGATTCAATTTCAGCATCATCGTCCTCCAAATTCTCAGAGGCATTTCCAAGTCCGATTTCTTCGGAGGAACTATCTAAAACTTGGATGAAATTGGAGGATTTTGAGGTATTTTGATTGGTGCTGTTGGAGTATGCGAAGGACTCGATAGGAGGAGGTGGAGCAGAAGGCTTGTGTTTGAGGACGCGAGAAGGATTGAAGGAATTGTCTTCCGGCCATTCATCGTCGGAAATCTCGTAATAGTCGCGCTTCATGGCAACAAAAACCCTAGAGGCTGGAGTTGGAACTTGGAGGAGGGAATTTTGAAAATTCACTCATCAAAACTTAATTGAATTTTAGGGGAATGAAATCGATTGCTCTTTTCCACTTCCCCACGCATACTTCTGACACTCTATTTCACCAACGAAAAGGTGAAAATTATTTACGAAACCTCCCCTCTTCTTTCAATAAAATATACACATTTTCTCCTAACAGCTTAGTAATTACACTGAAACACATTTGTTTAGCACATTATAATCATAAGATTACTGTTTGAAAAGTCATCAGGTAATTGAAATTGGTGTAATTACTATATAGTAATTATCAGCCGAGTAATTACACATAATTACGCTGACCTGTTTGTTTGTCACAATGTAATTACAAGTGTATTGTTTGATTGCACAAGTTGTAATCATAATTCATAAGGTTATATTAATTATTTTTTTTAAAATAATTATTTAAAATTGAAATTTTATATTAGACAAATAATGATCTTTATAAATGATAAATTGTTGTAAAATATAAGCAATATAGTACAAATAATATAGACAAGATATATATATATATATATATATATAGATGGGGAGCAGAATGTAGAGATCATCTTATTCAAATATCTTTTTGTCTCTCATTGTCTTTACAATTGTGAAAAATCCCTATTTATAGGTTGCGAAGTCACTCCAAAAGTCACCATATTAAGTGTCATGATAAATAGATACATTTTTATCCAAAAAGGTTCATAGAACCTAAGGAATATGAATAGTTGTTCATGTATTAACTCAATGGACAATCCACTCATTCAATGAATTTATAACACTCCCCTTGGATGTGCATTGATAATGTGTCTCGTTAAAATCTTACTAGGAAAAACCAGTGGGAAAAGCCTAGTGAAGGAAAAAGAGTACACATATCTCATAATACGCTTTGAGTGTTGCCTCATTAAAAACTTTACCAGGAAAACCCAATTGGGACAAAAGCAAGGTTAAGGAAAAGAGTACAACGTGTATTACACTCCCTCTGGTGAAAGCTTTACTTGATATCTCGGAGATAACACATTCGAATCTTATATCTCAACTTCTCAAATGTTGATGTTGGTAATGCCTTAGTCAATAAATCTGTAAGATTATCACTTGAACAAATCTTTTGAACTTCTATCTCACCATTTTGTTAAAGATCATGTGTGAAGAAAAACTTTGGTGAAATGCATTTTATCCAGTCTCATTTGATGTATCATTCCTTCAATCGAACTATACATGCATCATTATCTTCATACATGGTGGCTGGAATATCTCTTTTCAAGGAAAAACCACAAAGTTTCCGGCATTTGCATAATCAATAATCTGTATGTGCACCATTTGCACTAATACATGATATTTTTCAATCATTTTCATGAGATTGAAATTGATCTTTCTTTATGTTAAGCAATCTCACAACCATTAGGGTACTCAATGGAATTGCTTTAAATCTTTCATGGATTTTCATATAACATTCATCGTCTAGCTAGACATGAAAATCATTCATTACACATATTCAAGTATTTCATCTATTGCCAGACTAAAACAAACTTCATTTCATCCACCACAAGAGAATATATCTTCATTTAATAATGTTGGGACTTTTGCAAAAAACCCTTTATGCCCTAGGCACAAATCGTACTTTATATCTTACGGTTATACTTCCGCACAATAATTTATTTGTACCCCACTGACATTATATCTTAATCCTTGGACTATAAGTCCAAAACATCACTTTTCAAAGTGAAACATAATATACTTATGTTGTGCATTTCATTTGGCCAATCATTTATCTGTCCACATTATATGACAGATTTGAATTCAAGATCCTCGTCATCATTTGTAGCATTGAGCGTTACTTCATATCAAAGACACCATCGACGATCTTTTGACTCGATTCCAATACGACATAACTTATCGAGATCTCTTAATATTTTGTTATTTTAGGTACCCGAACCTTTGACAAGAATTTATGAAATGTTATGTCATCATGCTCCTTTCAAAGCACTTGCCTCATTATCATGACCATCTTGATCATTTGCTCCTCTCCTTCCTTAAGAAGTTTTTCATTAGGAATCGATTGGTCTATCACGCTTCAGGCGTACCATAGACTATGTCCTTTAAGGACTTCTCATTTGAGCATTTGCAACTGAATTATAACATAGGGTCAGCAAATTTATCTGACAATTAATTTGCAACATTATACAAATGAATTATCTCTTGAACTTCAAGTTCACATTTTTTAACGAGGATTTGGATAATTCATAATTCATCTCATAATTTTCAACTGTCAATTATCTCTCCCCCTAATGTTAGAAAATCTAACATTACTTTAGATGGAAAATATTTGGTTCCTGACCCTGAACCAATTATGATGGGGAACTCTTGTTGGCTTGATGCATACATGTTAAATAAACACATCTCATACAAAATTTATTTTGGAGTTTTGTTCTCATAGTCATAGCTTATCTATAATTGGAGGCATACAATTTTTGCTAAACCAACCAACATTATCAATATAATTTCATAATTTGAAACCGTGCACTTAATTTAACAATTTGAGCAAACAACCTTACAAAAACCAACTTGTAAGTTGACAACAAAGCACATGTGACCATCCCATAAATGCAACTATCATATAAGTTGCAAACAGTCCACATGGCAGAAGAACAGGCTCATATTCACCTTTTTATATGTTCCAAATAAGGAAAGACAATTCCAACCTTAACTGGTATAATGATACAATGATTATTTTATCATGAGAACAAGCAACATAAGAGAATTCTTGAAGAATCTTTTATTTCTTCATCATATAAGCCATGTGAATTCTCAATTACTTTTACATCACATTGGACCGGAATGGCCAACCGGTCATGCCAACTGATCTTTATTTTTCTCAAACCTCTTGTAAAGGTAAGTTGTGACTTTTATCCAACCCATAGTGATTTTATCACATCTTGACTCATTCTCTTCCAGAATAGTCGAGCATGCATGATACTTATCACAAGTCACATTCTCTACAAGGAATGGACTAATCATTTATATGCATGTGCTTCATAAATTTTCATTATAAGCACATTGTCATGCCTTTGAAATTCATCATTTTTTGCATGACCTACCTCAACATCACTTTGAAAGGTCAAGTGTACCACCACTTTATCTTCCTTTCTTTAGATGGAGGAATTTTATAAATTTATCAAATTATTAGGTCGCACAATGACCATGAGTCCAATAACCTTTCATACCATTATGATGATAAAAATTACCTTCACATTTTGAAGGACTATTTGAAGAACCCATAATGTTCTTCCTTTTATAATTACCACAATAATGACTATTATAATTCTATCCATCAACGCCCTTATTCATACATTCAATCACTAGTCATCTTTCAGACTTATGATTCACTACTATCACATTCATATGACAGAATGGAGCAATTGGGCGGATTTCAAACTTATCAGTACTGCTACCACATTCGCATTAGGGAATGGAGCAAATTCAATGGGACGAATTTCATGACTTTTCATCAAAGTCTTAGCAATCATTATATCATCACTATGGCACATTGGGACTCAAACTCAATGTCTTATCCATATAAGGCTTGTTAGGCCACAATTTTATGGGACTTGAACCCAATCCTTATCATCATAGTGCATCAAAACTCAAATTGATGTCTTACCCTCTTGGTGCAATAGAACATGAATCTATCGTCTTACCCTCAACCAACAATATAATAGACCGAAGTACAACATGACTCCCCCTTTGAGTTTTTCAAACTCACGCTATTAAAACTTTATACCTTCTTCCATATAAGAAATTTTGTATAACATGTCATATTCAACCAATAGTAGTATATGTCTTTGGTTCCTGATTAATATTAGTGACCGAACACTAATGTATTCTAAATCATAAAAAGATTTTAGAAAATACATACCTAATTTTTTGTGCATACAATACCTTAATTGCAGTAGTTATCATTTTTCCCTCTTGATTCTCATAACGAGATCAACTAGAACATGAGTTAATGAAAAACTAAAACTCACTCTCAATCGGCTAGAGTCTCATGCTGATAACGTGTTGTAAAATATAAGTAATATACTGCAAACAATATAGACAAAAGATATGGGGAGTGGAATATAGAGACCATCTTATTCAAATATCTTCTTGTCTCTCATGTTGTCTTTACAATGGTGAAAGAACAACCCTATTTATAGGTTGAGAAGTCACTCGAAAATTCACCATATTAAGTGTCATAATAAATAGATACATTCTTATCCAAAAAGGTTCATAGAACCTAGGGAATATGAATAGTTGTTCATGTATTAACTCAATAGACAATCCACTCATTCAATGAATTTATAACATAAATTAAATATTTAAGATAAAATATTGTCTTTTGAAAATATGTTAACTAATAAACATGTGTTCTTGACTAATATTATAAAAAATAATTGTTTTATATTTTTCAATTTAGTATATTTTAATTATATTAATCATAAAAACTAAAAGTACATAATTTCTATGAACACCATGAAATGCACGTTTGACAAAAAACATTAATACAATAAATATAATGTCATAATTATAATACATTTGATGAAAAGATAATTTATCAAGTCTAACTTAAAAAAATAGCTTGCAATGTAAATTATCACGTCAATACTCCTAAACAAATGAAATTTAAAATATAATATAAGTTCTAAATTCTAAACAAAAAATTTAACATAATACTCTTATGTCAAATTTCAACATAACATACATAAATATGATTAAAAAAACGTAAGTCCATAACTTTATCCAACAGTGAATTCTACTTTAATTTTAAAATTATAATACCAACAAAATTATATTAATAATATTTTTTAGATAATACGAAAACGTGCATAGAATCACATGAAGTAAATGTTGAGAATAAGAAGGAAATGAAATATAAATGATAAAAAAATTAGAATAATATAATAAAAAATAGTTTTAAATAATAAAAATAAAAAAACATTAAAACGAAAAAAATAAAAAATGAAGAAATTATAAAGTGATCCGCTTGTAATTATAGCAATTCACATCCTCCCTGTGTGAATTGGAGAGTGTAATTACACCCTGCCAATTACATTCAATTACCTACTAACC